GGGGGCGGGGGGGCGGCCGTTGACCCGGTGACCGCGGCGCCGCCGGAGGCTGGAGGTGCCGTGCGGCTCGCTCCCGCCTCCCTTCAGGGTACATGGCGCCGCGCCCGCCCCGCGCCCCGCCGCGCCCTCCGCCCGCCCGGGTCTGACGGAGCCGGGCAGCCATGAGCGCCAACCCCCAGTGGGACACCAGCAGGGCGCTGGGGGTGGCCAGGTTCTTCCATCTGGTGTGCGGGGTCCGGGATGCCTGCGTGACCCCGTTCCTGACCCTCTACCTGCGGCAGCTGGGCTTGGCCGCGCCCTGGGTGGGCATCCTAATGGGAACCAAGCACCTGATCGCAGCCTTCTGGGCTCCCTTCTGTGCCTTCCTGGCCAAAAGCTACCAGAAGCGGAGGGTGCTTCTGATAGGCTCGCTGCTCGGCTCGGTGGGAGCCAGCCTGTTGATGGTCCTGGTGCCGCCCTTGGACAGAGACCCAGGGTACCGCTCGTGTAACGGAAGCCACAGCGTGACCGCCACGGTCCCACCACCGGCGGTCGCACTCACCGTGAACTTCACCTCCGCCCCCGAGCCGGCTCCGAACTACCCAGCGCCCAGCCTCCCAGCCCAGAGGAGTACTGGGGTCGGCCCAGCCGATGGCTTCAGAGAAGGGCCTGGGGAAAGTGGCCAAGAACCTTTGAGTCGTCTGCCCAGCTCCTTTGTGGGCTCCATCCAAGGAACCAGGACCACATCCCGAGTTCTCCATCCTGTTACTTCAAGAGTGAAAGATACTCCCCAGGAAGCTGCTTTTAGGATGGTCGGTCCTGCCCTCCCTTTGCTTGCTGGGGGTACGGCGTTGGCAAGTCCGGCCAACCAGTCGGCAGCCAAGGGGATGGCGGGGGCCCTCGACCTCTCCTTGGAACGGTTGCGGTGGACTTTCATCCTCTCCCTGGGCTCCATGGTGTTCTGGGAGCTACTGACATCCCCTCTGGAGCAGGTGGCAGATGACAGCCTTTATGAATACCTGGATTTTGTGGACGCCACTGACCGCTACAGAAGCCTGTGGATCTGGAGGCTGCTGGGCATGTCGGCAGGCGTGTGTGGCATCTCAGCCTTGGTGGGGCAGCTGGACTGCCTCCTGATGACAGGTGGCCCCCGGGGTGTAGTGCACTTCTACGGCTACTCACTGGTCGGCACCCTGGCTTTACTGGTGAGCATTGCCTTTCCCGTCCCCGTCTGCAGGCGGTGGGAGCCCAGCTACAAAATGGTCAAAGCCCTGTCTCTCGTAGGCGGTGACCCCCGCCTCATCACCCTCGCCCTAACTGTCTTCTTGATAGGAACCGCCACCAGCACCGTGCAGAACTTCTTGTTCTGGCACATGAAAGACCACGAGAGCACCGAACTGGTCATGGGCTTCTCAGTGGCCCTGGGCTTGCTGGGGGAAATCCTGCTTCATCCTCTCAAAACTCCGTTGCTTAGGAAGCTGTCCAGGGTGGGCACGGTGGGGCTAGGGCTGGGCTGCCTGGCGGGGCAGCTTCTGTATTTCTCTTTCCTCTGGAGCTGGTGGTCTGTCCTTCCCGCTCAGATCTTGAGCGCCGTCAGCCACGGGGCTCTGTGGTGGGCAGTCGGGGCCACCATAGAGCATCTGGCCACTCCCGGAACAGAGAGACCTCTGAGTGCCATGTTCCGAGGCCACTTTCACGGGGTCGGGGCCGGCCTGGGCAGCTTTGTGGGGGGCTTCGTGGTGATGCATTTCAGCTTAGCTGTGCTCTACCGGTCCTGCTGTGTGGTCCTGTTGCTCTGGCTGGCCTTGTTCCTGTCCATCCAGTCCAGACTGCCCCAGGAGCGGAAAATCAACTACTCTAAGCTGCTGGCCGTGGGGGCCAGTGACACGAGTGATTCTGAGCAGGGGACCGAACAGGACTGGCTTGTGAAGGCCATGAGAGACGAGCACTCAGACTGGAGGGGCTGAGAGACAGTCAGGATGCGCTGATCTGGGGAGGAGCCAAAGGGATGGACAGCACTTAGCCTGCTGGGGACAAACCCCACGAGTCCTGCCAGGAGTGCAGGGAGCCCGGGGAGACAAAAGCATGTCTGTGCCAAGGCCCCACGGGAGCATCTCATCGCATGATTTTCTTTACTTTTGTAGTAAAAGGAGATTTAACTTTTGGCTGTTCAGTCTTTTTAAAATAATGGAGCAAGAATACATTTGCTAAAAATCAAAAAATGTCCCTTGGTGGTCACTCTTTTTTGGCGTATGCGGTTTGCAAGAGCTTTGCGTGGTGCTGTTGATTTCAGCCACGGCTGCACTGCTCAGGTGAAACTGACGGGGCTGGGAAGGCTATGGAACTGCAGGACTCAGTCGGCGGAGGGGGCAGCAGGCTTCGATGAGTCGTGTACATTCCTGTGGATCTTAAGGCTTGAGCCCGAGCCTATAAAAGCCGTGCCGTGGGCAGGTAAGGATGGTCATGAGAACCGGAACTCTTCTCTCTGTCTCTCTCTCTCTCTCCACTGATAAACAGGTGCCCACACTCACACCCAGGTACCTAATTAAGTCTCCAATAAGAGAAAATGATGGGAAGTGTAATGTGTGTGTGGGGGGGATAGGGGGTGGAGGTGAATAGGTTTTCATTCTTACTCTCAGATGTGTGTGTCACCAAAACGGGATCCTTAGACTCGTCTTCCATGCTTAGATGAGGGCAAGAGCCATTTCACGTCCTTTGGACTCCCATTTGGCAGGCTCCGCCTCTCAAGAGCACATGGAGACTTTTTGCGTCTGCTTCGTGAGGGTGCGGCAGCCTCCTTAGGGCTAGGATGCCAGTACCTGTGCCATAGGACCTCCCACAACAAACCTATGAATAAATCAAAGTTGTTCACTGCATTTTACAAGCAAGAAAACGGAGTCTCAGGAAAGTCACACATTGGGTCACTGTCGGAAACACCTCGAGAGCCCTGATCTCCTTCCTGCAAATCTAGTGCATTTTCCGCTATGCCACTAGTTCCCAAGGCTGGATTCAGACACCAGCCACAAATTCGGGAGTCCCCAGGGCTACCCTCACTTCTGACCAACTGGCTAAAAATTTGGGGTTCCCACTTTCCCCCTCAGGTTCAATAATTCACTAGAATGACTCACAGGACCTATGAAAGTACTACACGAATGATTACAGTTTTATTATAGCCAAAAGAAGAGACACATAGAGTGAGGCCTGGAGGGTCCCAAACGTTAAGCGGCCATGTCCTCTCTCCACGGAGTCAGAATCCACCACCTCTGAGCCACGGATGTGTGCAAATACACGGAGCATCGCCATCCCGGGAGACTCTGGCATCCGTGGTCTCCATTACATCAGCATATGGTTCACTGAGTCATTGGTCTGACACTCAGTCTTCAGCCCCTGTCCCCTTCAGTCCCAACAGAAGTCAGGCCGTTGTCACGTGGCTCAAAGCCCCAAACTTCTATTTAATCACGTGGTTGGTCTTTCTGGCACAGCAGTCTCCTTCCCAGTTATCTCGTTAACATTAGGGTCCCTCACTAGTTACTTCATTAACATAAACCAGGGGCCCTCCCGGAGTCACTCATTAGCATAGACACAGGTGTGGTCCAGAGAGACCCACCAAAATAACAAAGACACTTTTATAACTCAGGAAATTCCAAGCATTTAGAGGCTGCCTTCCAGGAACCAGGGACAAGGGGCAGCCAGCAGGCCCAACAGAAAACACAGACACACACAGAACAAGACAAGCTGAATGTCAAGTGAGAAGTTCAAACAGTGTTTCAGGAAGTGTGGGGCAGGCGTGACGGTTGAATGCTGGGAGAAAACCTCATGGAGATGATGAAATAGGCCTGCGTATTGAAGGAAGGATCAGGTCACAAAGACTTAGACCTCAGAGGTGTGACTTTTACGCTAGTAACCAGCCACTAGGTCAGTTCAGCATCATAAAGTTAAAAGCAAATGAAATCCTTAGCTCGCAGCCTCATGGCTATCAGAGATACTGAGTTCTAACACATCTTCGTTCCGGCTAAGAGGAAAGTAAATATTGGATGAGCCATTAACCTTTCTGTTCAGCCTTACTTAAACCTTCATTTCCCAGGTGAGTTTGCAGAAAACTTGATCCTAGCAGGGAGGCGGGTGGGGGCATTAAAAAAGAATTCTGTGCCAAACAATTTAAGAAATTATGTAAATGATGTCACCTCTTAGAAACTTACAATACATATTAGCAACGAAAGATTCTGGAAAGCCCTATAGCCAACATATTTGTTTAACTTTGTTGGCCCTGTAGTTCCCCTGACATAACAACATATCACAACCTTCTTCCAGGTACACAAATCACTATCTTTCAGAACTAGTGTTCCCTAGAAGAGGCTTAGAAAACACCAATGTTGGTAGTTTTCTGTGTGACCTTTTCGACTCAGGGACAAATGGCTCCCGCACCCAGCCTGGCAAGAATCGAGGGTATCCGTGCTACAAAGCTATCTCATTAAGTCAGAGCATCCACTCATTTTACAGGTAAAGCAACTAAGTCTCAGAAGGTTAAAATTCAAAACCAGATCTGTTTGAGCCCATCTGCTCAAGCTGTATGTTGAAACTGGCTCAGATAAGTGGAGAGGCTGTTCTACAAGGGTAGCGGGTGATAACCAGGCAGGGGCATGGCAGGGACAAGACACTAAACTTGCTTGTGGATTTTGTATGAGGAGTTGTGGAAAATAGGCTGGAGACATGGGTTGGAGTCAGATTGTGGACACCCTCAATATCACCCTGAGGGAAAGGGAATTCACACAGGTTCAACCATCCCCGCCCCCTCTGTGTCTGACACCTGCACATGTCACGCTCATAATTCTCGCCACACAAATGCTCATTTTACAGCAGGGGAAACTGAGGCTCAGAGAGGTTAGCCGACTTAGCTGCTCAGGGTCATGACTATTGGATGGTGGAACATAGCTTGAACCCAGATCTGACCACTGCCAATCTCATGGTCCTTCCTCTGAATATTCATGCTGCTTCCCGGAAGTGAAGATTTTACCAGCCAGCTGAGAGGCACTGAAAGTTTAGACTCTCTCTTGCGGGTTGCACTGTGAACAATGGGTCTGGGTTGCAGGAGCTCCGTCAGGGCTGGGACGTCTGTTTTGGACAGACTACTGCAATTGTCTGGGCAGGAAGGGGGCTGCATCTCAGAAGCATGTGATGATCTAATGATGTGACAATATATGTGCCACGGATTGAATTGTGTCCCCTCCAAAGTCATATGTTGAAGCCCTAACTGCCAATGTGATGGTATTTGGAGATAGGGCCTTTGGGAGGTAATTAGGGTTAAATGAGGTCATAGGGTGGGGCCCTAATCCGATGGGATTGGTGCCTTTATAAGAGGAAAAGGAGACACCTGAGAGCTATCTCTCCCTCTCCCTCCCTCCCTCCATCTCTCCCTCCCTCTTTCTTTCTCTCTCTCCGCCAGTGCAAGAAGAAAGGCCATGTGAGGACACATCGTGAAGGCCACTGTCTCCAAGCCAGGAAGAGAGGCCTCACCAGAAATTGAATTCGCCAGCAGTTTGACCACGGACTTCTAGCCTCCAGAACTGTGAAAAAATAAATGTCTGTGGTTTAAACCATCCAGCCCATGGTATTTTATTATGGCAGCCGGAGAAGACTAGTGCAGTATGCAAGGGAGTTTCAGAGATGGAATCAACAATATAGCCCTTGATTATTGATCGACTAATGATGTGGGGGTTAGGGAAGAAGGAGATATCAAGGATCACAGATGATTTTGCAATTTTGAACCCATGTGAGGGGAAAAGTCTGTAGAAATGGCAGAGTCCAGAATGACAGAAAACCAGTGCCTATATCGTAAAAATGAAAGACAATACAGAAAAAAACGTTACTCCTAAGCCTGCTAGGTCCCTTCCACAACGGATGACTGTCACCGAGACCAGGGATATGGCTGTTTGGTGATACTTGTGATGTGGGGCAGAGCAGAAGACATTTCCAAACTCAGAGGACTTTTCCAGAGCAATGTTCAGGAAACCTGATTCTCTTTTCAAGTCTGGTTGGGAAATAGCTTGGAGACATGAGTTTGGACTGGACTGCAGTTCCTCTGGACCCTGGGAGCCTGTGATCTGTGATGGGAGGGTGATGTGGTGAGGTGTCTTCTGTTACAGAAGTGAAGCTTAAGATGTGACCCCTCGGGCAAACCACTTACCCTTCCAAGGTCTCACCTTCCAAGTCTGAAAAACAAGGGCCTTGGCCTCCATGAGCTTCCAAATTGTGCCATTTGACTGGACATGATCCGTTCCTTTGAGCCTCGGCCCTTCTCACCCGGCAGAACGGCATGGCGTCCTGGAACCCAAGGGATGTACTGAATGAATGTTTATTTCCTTCCCTGAACCTGGCACTGAGCCCCTGGTCTGCTGTGCAGCGTGGCCACATGGAGCCCCAAGTCCCAGCCCTAGACTGACCCTCTGCCCTCAAAACCAGGGCTCCAGGGGAGTGATGGGATGAACCCGAGGGGCAGTCCCTGGGGGCTGGAATTGCGAGCCTGTGGTTGGGGGTCTGCGGTGGAAGGGGGAGCCCCAGGCAGGCACCTTTAAGCGCAGGGAACTCCCTCCTAACGGCATCCGAATTCCAGCTCTGCACGTGTCGACCATCATAGGCTGCAACCTTGGACTCCTGCATCCCCTCTACCCTGTGCCAGGGATGAGGGCATCCTCTCGGGCCAGAGAGGCCATTTTCTACCTCCACATGGAGTGCGAGGGCCATAAGCTGAGTGCCATGAGCTGGGACCGCGGAGAACCAACCAGGACCGGAAGGGAGGAAGGGAGTCGGCCCGCAATTCAGAAGTGCTCCACCAGGGGGCACCAAACACACGGAGAAACACCCGCCTGGCTTCCTTTGGCGAACATGGGCCCGGGCCCTTCCCAAAGCTCCAGTTCAGGGTGAGACCAGCTCCCTGAGGACCCTTTAGATCTTGAAGCTGGGAACTACA